GTCCTGCAAAATAAATGATTTTAGCAAACAAAAAGTATCCTATCCCCCTAAATTGAGGGTTGCGAGTTCAATAGGATTGTTATTTTGGACTAAAAAGGCCTGATTTTAGAGTTATGGTGAAAATAACACCGATCTACATGAATATGGTGATTCATGATTCTGATAGCATGAGTACCATGCAATTAATATTTCCTGCACATAGAGACCTCACGAACACATTAGCATGGTTAGTTTATCTTAAAACGCAATAAAACTCAAGAATGAAAAATTATACAATGATGGAATCATGATGCATGCACGAGTATTTTCTGGCTGTTTGGATCGTTGTAAACGATTCAATCTTACCCTATGATCTTCCTGGTGTTGATTGGGATGACTAGTTTGTAGTGAAATAGACTATGAATAGGGTTTCAAGTTGTTTTAGGGTTCTTTAAAATTTGAGATTTTTGACAAGCTTTTAGTGTAAGGGTTCATATCCTTGCTTGTATGAAGAATGGAGATTATATAGCATGAATTAGTTCAAAGATAAAATGGGCTTGGACTTTGTGTAAGAAGCCTTGTATTTTATTTTTTTATTTTTTATAATAATGAATAAATAAATAAAACAATTAAAATAAAATGGACCAAGGGGTACATGAACAAGATCCGAGGTGTATAAGGAGTTTAATACACACTTGGATTCTTAAACAATGACCTAATAGTCCAAAATACCAAGTTTGCCCAATTTGAACTTCATGCATTTACTATAAGTTTTCCAACTTGCACTGGTCATAACTCTCTCAATTTTCATCCTTTGAAGGTGATATTGGACTTTTTGGAAAGATGAAGATGTCCTCTATAATCTCTATGTTGATCATTTTGGCATTTGAAGATTTTATCTTGATCTAAGTTGCCTTGATAAAAAGTGTCTTTTTGTTGACTTTTGAAATGACCTATAATGTTTTGGCCCATATCTCTCAAATGAAGCATTATTTGGACTTGAGCTAAGAGAGACAAAGTTGTAGAGAATTGAATTTCCTTCAAAATGAGCTTTGGTTGGGGAATATATGATGAAGAATGTGAAAGTTATGCTTGGTCAAAGTTCAGTTGACTTCTCCTAAGGAAAACCCTAATTTGGCAACTTTTGACTTTTGATGGTTTGAGAGTTTTCTTTGAAGAATAATGATCAATACTTGATCAAATTATGAATATGACTTCGAAATCTTGATGTCGACCAAAAATATTGAAGCTTAACTGTATGTTGACCATAATTGACTTTTTGTTCAATATAGTTGATTTTCAGTCATCTGAGCAATTGACTAAGCAAACTTGTGATGTAAGGCATGAAACTTGGTATGGGAATCCTTAGATACCTATAAGAAACCATGGAAACCACTTGAGGCATTAGAAACCCAAACTTCCTTTAATAAAAATGAAACCCTATTTGTAAGTAGATTGCTTAGGAGGAGAATTTGTCTGATCAATTCTTGAGCAACTTTGAGCATTTGAGAACCCTAGGATAATATCTTGAATAAAACGGGAGGGAAAGTTTTGGGATACAACAGGAGGCGTCAACTTCTGGGACTCATGCATCTGTGCCTTCGTCTTCCCAGAGGAGCTAGTTGTCACCTCCTGATGCCTGGGAAGCCCACTGGGGGTTTGGAGGAAGCCCGTGCGACTTATCGTTGTTGTCTCTATATTCGTACCATGCTGCCAGGTATGTGTGAGATAGATATGTAAAATCCAATTTTATTCATTCTTTGAAACACATGTGTTAAAATACTCAATGTTTCTGACGATGGTTTATTTTTCTGTAGAGATGCTTTAAAATGCATCAATTGTGGTCAGTAGATTTTGGGTTTGGCGCAACCTCAAGATCAGTGGTTTTAAGATATGATGCAGTTATCTGGGTCATGAGACCTATACAAGATGGGGTATATTACGATTAACTATGGTATGCTTTCTGCGTTCGTTGAGAGATGGTATTCTGAGACTTCTTCTTTTCATCCTCCACGTGGTGAGATGTTTATCACCTCGGGCGTTGTTTCATGCATGTTGCATCTTACGATCAGGGGAAGCGTCTTAGACCATAGCAGGATTATCAGAGATGATGCATTGGAGATGATGGTGAGATATATAGGGGATGACTTGGTGCTTGCCCAAAAGGAGATGGAAGAATCCTGACAGTGTCATGCTAGATTTTGATTCTTGGAGATGTTCTATGCACAACAGCTGACTGCGGAAAAGCAGGCCGTTAGTGATGATGAGTAGGTTATGTAGCATAGATCATACGCATTGATAGCATACTTGTTGTACTTGGTTGGAACGTCCTTTTTTATGGATAAGAGTGCCACTTATGTTGATGTGGTTTACTTGAGATATTTCGTTGACTTGGAGTGAATCCATGAGTATAATTTAAGAGGTGCTTGTTTGATTTACATGTACTCTAAGTTAGTTGAAAGTTGTACGTGAAAGACCAAACATGTGACATCTAGCTGCACACTGTTGACGATAATATATTTGCATCATTTATTGTTTGTGTATCATTTTCATAACACTTGTGCTACGTCATTACTAATTGTTCATGTGTACCATTTTCAGGTTTGGATCCTTCGGTACTTCCCACAAATATTTGTGGATCATATGTTCCAATCTATACTGAGGATATGCCACATGCTTTTATATTCACCCGGCTCAAAGGAAATTAGGTGATGATCCTTTTATAGTGTATCTTGGCTGCTTGGTAGAAGAAGATATACACTTTCAAACGTGCATCGATCACCATCAGACGTGTCCCTTAGACAACATAACCTTCTACTCTGGATGGTTAGCTTATGGGCCACGTTTAATGTATCCACATCTTACTATGCGCGTTATGTGCTAGTTCGGCTACATGTAGTTTATTCCCATATACCATTCCGAGTTTTCTCCTTCCGCTATGGCATGCAGAGATATTGATGCCATGTATGATGATTACCTTAATCATCTGGTATCGGATGATGCATGTGGTATTCTAGCTCCTTGCGACTTGAGGGCTGCATATGGCTACATCTAGTGGTATTTCAAGGTGTCGCATCCTTATATGATATTAGATACTCTGAGTGATCTACCTAGATCAACTTATCAAGAGATACTAGATGATGAGTAAGGTGGGGTAGATCATGTTGTTGATGTGTTTCCTAGATGTTGACATATCATGGATATTGTGAAGGCGGGTATAGACAGAGGAGTCTTTTTGAAAGGCTCTGAGGCAAAACCTTGTAGTTGCCATCCTAGAGGAGGCACGGACGACACTGAAATACATAAGGCAACATAGAATAATGTGGGGGTCGGGTTTGGCATACGTCGTAGTACAAACTCACCACTCTAGGGGTAGCTATCCCCTTAGCATCATCCTCTAACAATGTTCTAATATAATTCGGTGCAACATCAAAGAGAAAACTAGCAAATTCTAAAGTGCACCCAAGATTAACTAAAGCATCAACACACTTGTTTACTTCCATAAAAAAAAGCACCACCTTCACTTCCACATACTCAACTAAATAACGAATCTGTGTAGTCGAAGAATGACTTTTTATGCTACTCGGCATTTCCTTCTTTAGAACTTTCATAATAACCATAGAGTTCACATTAAACTCAACGTTGCCCAACCCAAACATATTATTAAGTTTTAGCCTTTCAAAGACACCCTGTAACTCTGCCATAAAAGTAAAATTGCACCAAAAGGATTTCAAAAGAAACCATCCATCCATACTATCCTTTGGAGGCCTGAACTTTTCAATACTCCTTTGCCATTTCTAGAACTAGTCACCCGGTTTGAACTTTTCAATACTCCTTTGCCATGTGTAGAACTAGTCACCCGGTTGAATATGATAAGACTCGACATTATATCTCTAGGGACTCGGGTTGTATGGTCGGTCATGTGATGATGATAAGACTCACCCCTAATGCCATGTGTAGAACTAGTCACCCGGTTGAATATGATAAGACTCGACATTATATCTCTAGGGACTCGGGTTGTATGGTCGGTCATGTGATGATGATAAGACTCACCCCTAATACCGTACTAAATAATATTCCATCCGTTTTAAAATGTCTATCGTTTTATCAAATAAAATTTATTTCAAAATGACTTTTCATTCTCACTTTTTAATATAGAAATCATTGTTATTTTTCCAATTATACCCTTTAATCATTAATTTTTACACTTCTTCCAACACATTAATAATGTTAGTTTGGTAAAAGCAGAATACTTAATGACAATATCATTGCATTGTTTAATTAGTATGCAAAAATCTTAAACGATAATTTTTTTAAAAAGGAATGAGTAGTAATAAAGAAAGGATCATGCTAACATGTGTCCTAAGAATACTATAATTAGAAAATTTTAAATATAATAAAGTCATATTTAAAGTTTTAAAAGAGTGAATGCATGGTTCCAAAAAAAAATGTTTCTCCAAATAGCTTAGCTTATTAATTTGTACCCTGGAGCACATGTTAGCTTTTTCCATAAAGAAAAGTAGCCTAAAGTTGAGTTATATTTACAACTCCAATAACATTGATCCAAGGCAAGGGCAAATGAGATCGTCCCTTAATAATCATCACCGAGAACACCGTAACCTGTAGATTATTTTAGAATAAGTGACAACAGCACCACCAATTAAGATCATCCACTAATTAAATGATTAGAGCTTAGATATATCAAATAATGCATACTTATAGTATTGATTAAAATAAGTCATTTTCTTTTTGTATTGATGACTAATGTGTAATATTTTTATTTTTCATTTATGACTTGAAATTGAAACAACATCTGAAATGAATGAGGGTTGAATACAACAACTACAACACAGCAACATCAGGCAAAAACAGATATGCCATTATCCAACACAAAAAAATACATACATATCCAACCTTAGGAAATAATCAATGACTCATGAGAATTGATATCAAATTCTCTCCACCAACCAATCTGAGATCCATATTATCTAACATACAAGAAGCTACATTTGTTCATAAACTTATTCGCCTTCACTTAGTATAGGTACTATGAGCGGTTTCATTTGTGCCAGGTATACAATCGCCCACCTGATACAAGAAAGGAAAAATGAAGGTCAGTACAAGGACAAACATCTACAACTCCCCCTCCCAAAAAAAATCTCTGGCCATACAGTCAGGTATCATTTTTACGCATAATGAAGCGCGCTTATATATACACATGTTAATCAAATTGTATCATTGAGGATATGTTGAAATGTGCATAATGATGAACAGAAACTCAAATAACTACACATTATCTATTTAAAATGGTTCAATAGTAAAACCAAGCATTTAAAATATAAGTACAAAGTATTAAAATGACAATGGATAGTTTAATCAGAGAAAAGCATAATCTTCAAACTACAATTGGTTCACAGACTATTGAAAACTTGTCATCATATACAACCATCAAAATAGTTCACATGGCGGGCCATGGGTTCCAACCCGCAATACCCCTCTTATCCATACCGAGTGTGTTTTGAGTTTCGCCGTTAAGCTATTTGACACCCCAAAAAATAGTGAACATGGTGGTGACCCACTTAATTCTCAATAAAACATACTGAGGGCAGCTATGCAGTATCATTGATATGACTCAAAACACACAACATCAAATGTCATAGTGAAAAGAAAGGCTATGCACATGAAAAACAAACAGCTGCAACAACATTAACTACTATGAGTCATGTGTACATGCAGCCTGTGAGTGTGAACTGTGAAGTTATTTATTTCATGGGCAAGAATGAGAGGCCATTTACTATTTTTCTTCTACTGAATAAATTCCTGATCTGGGGAAAATAAACTTAGATGCACAGTTTGTTTTTGCTCTAATTCCATTATTGACTTCATGCAAACTAAAAGAAGAATGACTAAATCGGAACTTACATCATCCAGCAGCATACTGTTGCAGTAGTAACCAGAGTCAAGTGAAATCTGCAACAAAATAAGAGATTAGAAACTTGTCGAGGAGAATTATACATGTATGAACAGATATAAGTAATCAAGAAAATATACAAAATGAATGTTCAAGGGAATCGTGAATAATATCAGTATGTCAATAAATTTTATAGAACCAATTGGCATCACCATGTGAATCTGAATACTAAGCTTCAAAACAATAAGAAGTTGGCATTAAGAGTGAATGACACGCATTCCTAAAGAAGACAATGTGAAGTAGGGGTGGACAAAATATATCGACCTGACCGGAAAACCGAAATATTTATTCTCACTTCGGGTGGATCGGTTCGGGTATCAGGTGGTTAAGTTGCAAAAAACCGGTTTATAATGGATATATTCGGACAGGTACAGTTTTTAAAGTTGTATCTATCGGTAACCGAAACCGTCCGGAATTGAATCAATTGGAAAACTTTAGGTGTACTGATTAATGATTCGCTTGCTTTTGCTTTAGGCTTTTCATAAAAAAATAGTAATGATGTAGCCAGCACTATAGTCTATAGCTGTATCAGTACTCTACTATTTCTAGGCTACGTGATTTACCCAACAAATGAATTATTTGGTTTTCACTTTCACTCTCTCACGTCTTCTCTTTCATTTCATGTCTCAACCTCTCTCTTCTTCATCCTCTTACTTTAAACCTCTCATCTTCTTTCACAACCATCATCTTCTTACTACTCTCATCTTCTTTCACAACCATCTTTTAACTTCTTTCACAACCAATTAAAGATGATTATTCTATTTTACTGGAGATATGGTTGTTCTGTCGTATGGTTTCTGTATTTTAACGGTTTATTATTTTAATGGTTTCTTCAGTTTTAGTTTTTTATGGGTTCTTTCTCCTCTCAAAGGTTCAAAGTTTAATTGATTACAAACCGTTTGAAACCACCCAAACAAACCGAAACCCGATTAACCCATAATCCGACTTAACTGAGAACCAGAACGAACGGAAATGGCTTTTGTTCTTTCACTCGCGGTTTTCTTTGGATGGGCAATTTATGATCTGAAACCGACCCCATCTGTCCGATGTCCAGCCCTAATGTGAAGTAACAAATCTTATAAATTCTTAGCAGCTTCATACTTGAAAAACACAAGAATGATTCAGAGTTAAAAAATAGTTGAGTATGGTTCATATCAGAACAAAGAGGGGCACAATATGTGAAAATTCCAAACGGGTCTTAGGCCCAACTCTTTGTTGTGGGTAGGTGACAGGGGGTGCAGGAGCAGTAGCTCCCGCAGTACAGTTCAGGATATTATTGTAAACTGAACCTTATATATAAGAGAAAAAAACACATTTTTCTTGTTCCAAAATATAAGAGAAAAAATCATCTTTCATCTATTTCAAGGTAAAATTACATGTAAATTGTATTTAATTTACCTTCTCTCTCATCATTTCTATATCCAACAACCAATTAGAATTGTTTTTACATCATTTCTCTTATATTTTGGGATAGTATATTACTTGTAACTATGTAACCCTAATTATTAGATAGATATCAAGGGAACTATAGTTGCACTATAGTCGTAGAGGTAGGCAGCATTGGCCGAACTGCGTTAACAAAGATCAATCGTGTTCATTACTTTTACTTTAGTTTCTCTTTAATCTTCTATACATACTAGTTGTTGTTCTAACAAATAATTCTTCATACTGCATCTCAGTTATATCTAAAATAGAATTGATTGTATCCAAAATAATGATGAGATAACACTACCACAATTCAACATTTTCAGAGTTCAAGCTCAAATCGAAACAATTCATAAACGCCGTACTATACTTCTATATAGTACAGATTACACTAATTCATCAAATGCAGAAGCACTCGAAAATCGAATCCGAATCCAAAATCAATAAAATTGATAAAAAACAACAGAGAACAGAAATTGAAAGATAATCAAAAGGATTAAAACGAAGATCAGAAAAAAGAAGGAAAAAAAGCATTACAGATTAGCAGAAGGTCCTCTATTGCAGCAAATTCTGGTGCAGAGGCACGCGATGAATCCAACCACCACGAAGATTAGTGTCGTTATCAAGAAACCCATTCCGATTCGTCGATTCCAGATTCCGATCAGAGAAAACGGATTCCTAATTTGAAGAAGAAATCGAAAAACGATGCAATTTGAATAAATAAATAATTTTCGATCGAAAATTTGTTACGGAGATGAAAAAAAAGGGGAAATGGGAAAGGGGAAAAAATTGAGAAATTTGTTACCTCTGAAGTGTTGAAGCAGAGATCTCACGGCTCTATCGGTTGATCAGCTTCGTGCATATAGAGACGCGTTGTCGATTTTCTGATGAGGAATAATTGGGCTTTGGTCAAAATAGTTGAAAGTGTTATTGGGCTTTAGTGTATGAAAAAGACTATTTACACCTTAGTTTGCATATATAAGGCTATTTTCTTTTCAAAAAGACAACTAACACCTAGAGTAAAAGTTAATAAAGTGAACAAATTAATGGTTGATACTACACTTATATTATTACTATTGAAATACATGAAATTATAAATTAGAAGTTTACAAATAATAATAAATTAGTGATAAATCGGAAATATATCAAATATTTGGATCATTTTACATGAATTTTATCCGTATTTTAATTAATTAAATTACTCTTTATTCGTATTATGCTGATATTTTCTATGTTTTCAGGAATTTAATGTTTGCAAGGCATGTGCGAAGAAAGTTAAGAAAAGTCAAGCTAATCAAGAGCAATTATGCATTGAGGGGTGTGTGGTAGAATAAGGTGCACTAAAAGCAAAAAACCTAAGAAAGAAGCGCTGGCCCAATCCACTAAGGGAGTGTAACGGCCATTACACATTGACCCAAAGGAGTGTAACGACCGTTATGAACTACCACGCAAGTCTCTCCTCAAAAGCAGGAGTGTAACGACCGTTACACCCTGCCATGCCAGCCCTCCCTCAAAAGAAGGAGTGTAACGACCGTTACACTAAGTCTATTCCGGAGGAGAAAATATCTCAACTCCCGCGCGTCCCCAAGACTATAAATAGTATATCAAATCTCCATTTTAAGCACGTTTTTCTTTTCCTTATTTTTACTATTACTCTGCCAAAAATATTCTCTGCATTATTTCGTTCCGTATTATTTTCTTTACCGATTTGTGGGAGACATCTGATATCCGACAAATATTCTGATGTAATATTCTCAGGTTTAATTTAAGTACTTTATTTATTTATGCCAAGATTGTCTGTAATGTTTTATTTATTTAAATTGTTTGATGATAATTATTTATGTTGCGCTGTTATTGAATCGTTTAATATGTTAGGCTAAATTTATTTATCGGTATGTAAGATCATATAGCCAACGGGTTTCAGCAACGCCAATTGATCAGTTCCTTTTAAAGAAAGAATAATTTTCTGGTTTCAATTACTAGTTTTAAATATTAACTATTTTGTTACGAGAGTAAAATACAGATAGAGGTTGGGATCAATAAAACGAGAGTTTGAGATAATAACTGGACAGTAGTAATTGTGCATCAACTTAAAATACAGCGAGAGCGCTTTGAAGTTGATTAGGTTTTGTTTGTTTCCAAAAACCATTTTTAAACCCTAATTGAAATAGCGAGAGCACTCACTTAAGTTTGATCGTAGGATATGAATCAATAAACACGAGAGTGTGAGAAGAGGGTTTTCAAACAAATGCTTCCTACCGAAAACTGTTTTGTTAATCCGAGCTAGGTCAATGAGTTGCTAAATCCCCGAAGTTTGACCATTACATACTGATATTCTCCCTTAAATCTAAACTAGATTATAATCAGTTAGGTTCCCTAAACCCCATATTAATTACACTATTAGCCTTAGATTTACGTAGTAACCTAAGATAACGATAGTTCGACATTTAGTCCCTTAGAATTCGATAATCCTTAAAGCTACACGCGATAGGACTGTATACTTGCGGTCTAGATTCTTTAAAACTCACAAAGTCGCGATCAAGTTTTTGGATAACAAGTCGATATCGTAACTCTTTTAGTTACGCTGTAGAGACTAAGGCACAATTCCTAGTTGTATGCCAAGCACTCACTCTAAAGGTGAAGGCTTAGTGCTACCAATTTCCGAACCTGAGCGCTCTATTACTAGAAGACGCCGAGCACGAGTATCTCATACAGATCAATACCTCTCTCAATCTTCTATTCCTACTGAACCAGTTGAAGAACCAGACATGGGTGATCAACCACGTCTGCTCAAATCTTATGATATTCCTTCGCAGGAAGAACCATATAACAACATTACTGCCCCACCGATTGAGGCTAAGAATCAAATGATTACAAACACACAACAACTATTGTGACTAACAATGCACAAGTAATCTTACAAATGACTAACACCACTAAGACTTAAATCTAGTCATAGTCTACTTGAGAAATCTGACCAAACTTGGTCTCTCAAGGAACAATTACAAGAGTTTAATCTTACAGATAGTGAAATAAAATTTGCTTCTAATCAAGCTATATCACAACTGTGATTTTTCACTTAGAATAAATTACATAAAGTGTATGAACAAAGAGTTTGTGGGCCCAGAATTTTTCACGTAGTGTCTTGCTTCTTTTTGAAATTGATTAGTTAGTTGGCTTGCAATAAATGTCCTTCTATATATAGTAGGAACAAAAAGACCGTTGCTGCCTTCAGAAAAGTGGAGAGCATTAAATGCTTGCGTGTTTCCTTGCACTATTCCATTTTCCAAAAAACTAGCTTAGACACTTGAGTGCTTGTAGACGTCTTTGCATTAATGAGCAAACAACACTTGTAAGAACATGTTTCCTGAAGCTTGACAAGACAAGTTGGCTTTAACGTTTTTTCAGAACTTGCTTCAACATCTTGAATTCAGAACATGCTTTACTCATCTTCTAAGCAGTGCTTTGCTTGCTAAGAACTTGATCAGCGCTTGCTTTCAAATAACTTTTGAACAACACTTGCTTTCAAGTAATCTTCTGAGCAAGGAATCCTGCTAAATGTTAGAAGATACATTTAAATAAATTGTCTTACCAGAGTCAGCAGTTGCGCTTAAAACAAAAATGGTTCTTTCATTAAAGAACTTCTTCATATAATTTTTGCTCAGCACATCAAAATGCTCCTGTCAGAACACTATCTGAAACATTCAAATACGTTCATCAGAGTATAAATTATCTAAAATATAATTTATTGTTATCATCAAAACTCTGAGATAGATCAGAACTAATATTGTTCTAACATTTATAGCATCCATGTTAAGGTAGACTCTCTCGTCCAGAAGATAGATAACTTAAACATAGTACCTCCAATCATCGTGGCTGCTATAACTCCGAATTGCGAGATATGCGGAGTACCTAGACATGCTGCTGCTAAATGCCAAATCTTGGCAGGAACCCCCCCCCCCCCCCCGACCAAGTATATTATGCTCAAGGAAATCCTTACTCGAACACTTACAACCCTGGATGGAAAAATCATCCAAATTTCTCATATAAAAACACCAATGCGTTGTATGCGCCTGGCCAAGCACCTGTTGTACCACCCGGATATCAAAAAGCACTTGCAGCTGCTCCTAATATGCCTAAGAAGTCTAACCTCGAAATTCTAATGGAAAATTTTATAGCTACCCAAGCTCAAACTAACAAGTAGTTTCTGAACCAAAATATTCACACTAGTGAGCAAATCAAACAGTTAGTGAATAAAGTAGATGCTTTAGCCACCCATAACAAAATGCTTGAAACCCAGATTTTGCAAGTGGCCCATCAACAAGCACCTACTGCTGCACCTGTTGGTACATTTCCAGGTCAACCTCAACCGAATCCAAAAGGACATGCTCATGCTATTATATTGCGAAGTGGAACTGAATACAATGGACCAATTGACCCTAAAGTCGAAAACCCAGCCATGTGCCAAAGTTCTAGAAAAACAACTGAAGAGGAAAGTGAACCAAAAGAGAAGAAGAAGGTAGATGATGGAGAGACAGAAGAAAAGGAAAAACCTTATGTGCCTCTGCCTCCTTACAAACCACCAATCACATATCCTCAAAGACGTACTCAATCTAGAAGTGCGGGGAAATTTAAGAAATTTGTTGAAATTCTGAAACAATTAAACATCACGATACCATTCACAAAATATATCACTCAAATTCCCTCGTACGCTAAGTTTCTCAAAGAAATCTTGTTGAACAAGAAAAATATAGAGGATAACGAGAGAATTACACTCACTGCTGAGTGTAGCGCGATCATTCAGAACAAAATGCCTCAAAAGCTAAAGGATCCTGGAAGTTTCTCTACACCCTGTAATATAGGTAAGTATGTCATAGACAAAGCTCTATGCGACTTAGGCGCTAGTATCAACATTATGCCCCCGTCCATATCCAAAAAGCTTGACATGGGAGAATTAAGACCAACCAAGATGTCAGTACAACTAGCGGATCACTCTGTCAAATACCCTGTGGGAATTCTAGAAAACATCCTGGTACGCATAGGTCAATTCTACTTCCCTACATATTTCATCATTATGGACATTAAAGAGGACATCGTAACCCCTATAATATTGGGAAGACCATTTTTAGCCATTGTTTGAGCTATTATAGATGTTAAGAGAGGAAAGCTAACTTTTGAAGTTGGAGAAGAGAAAGTTGAGTTTATCCTGACACAGTTCCTACAGGCCCCAGCTATAGATGATACATGCTATTTGTTAGATGTAATAGATGAATGTGTCAAAGAGATGGAGTCAAAAGAAGAAGCTTATTCTGAAACTATAAAGATTCTGATGCCCCTAATTTTTGAAGATGATGATCGGTGTCCCGAATATCGAGATGACGGTTTAAGTGAGTGTATAACACCGACACAAAATCATATGCCTTGTCCGAAGAAACCCAACCTGGAACTTAAAGTTTTACCCAAAACCCTAAGATACGAATTCCTAGATCCCGAACTTAAAAGACCTGTGATAGTCAACGCAAACTTAGGACAAACTGAGACGAAAAAACTATTGCATGTCTTAAGGAAATATCCATCTGCTTTGGGATATAACATTGATAATATTAAAGGAATAAGTCTTTCCATATGCATGCATCACATTATGCTGGAAGATGACTGTAAATCCTCTAGAGAACGTCATAGAAGAATTAACCCGATCTTGAGCACTGTAGTCAAGGATGAAGTAACTAAACTTCTAAATGCAGGTATCATTTATCCAATCTCAGATAGCCAATGGGTTAGTCCAGTCCACTGTGTACCCAAGAAAGGAGGAATCACAATCATGACAAATAAAGAAGGAAAGCAAATAGCAGAAAGAGTCGTGAGTGGAGCCAGAATGTGCATTGACTACAGAAAACTAAATAAAGCAACTCAAAAGGACCATTTCCCTCTACCTTTTATTGACCAAATGCTTAAGCGATTGGCTAAGAATTCTTA